AAGAGATTGAGAACTCAAACAGATCAAACCAATGCAAAGCAAAATGTTAGGACTATCACCTTCACTGATCAAATAGTAGTTGTCTTCGTTAGCAAAAAAATTTTGAACCAATTTTTTTCGAGCTTCAACCAAATCGGTTCGTTCGTGTCCAGCCGAATAAGGCTTAGCTGTGCTCTCTTCGAATTTGTAGTCCCAACGACGAAGATCTAGTCGTCAGGCCTTTTTTGATCTAAGCAAAAAGCAACAAGGAAAACTATCATTTAAGACTATCAGACAATCAAAAATGAACTTCAGGTCCTCTCACCTCTCCTGTAATAGCATAGTAATGTTTGTCCAAACATTGAGCTAGCTCTAAAAAAGTAAATGGCGCCAACTTTCTCTGGCAATCTTCCAAAGCATATGATTTTGCCTTATTTTTTAGCTAAGAAACGGGGTCGAAGAAGCTTGGTTCACGTTGACCACGCCTAGAATCTTCAAGAAACTTCTCTAGATCATCACTTATGAAAAATTCACTCGAGTTTTGACAAGTTTCAGCACTCACTGAACCACTTTGTCTTAAAAATAAATCAGTTTCTCTGCAGGATACACCAAAATATGTTAATGATCGTGAAGAAGTCTGATTTTTCACTATTGCAAATAAATCACCTCTGCCCGTTATATAATTTTTGCCCTTTGATAAGAATTGTTCGTGTTCATTCGCACTCAAATTGCACAAATTCATTAAATCCTCTTCTTTGGTGTCATTATCTAATTGTTCGAATATCTCCGTTGTCCACTATCTTTCGGCAGTTATTGCTGCACGACATTTTCCTTTTAGATTTTTGTGGCGTCAAAACAAATGAAATATTTCACTGGAATAAGAACTTGAAAAATACAGAAAATTATCTGTAAAAGGTTTTTCTCTAGATTAATAATGATTTTGTTTTATTTCAAGCGATTAATTTACTACTGTAGTGAAAAAACGATGATTCATCAAACAATATATAAAACGGAACTGAACCTTCATGAAATATTTAAATATATGAATATCGACTGATGCAAGAATAGTAAGGCAAAAAGTGATAGGCAACCAAAAGTATAAGTTTCAACTGTTATATCATATCAAAACAGATTCATATATTGCTTTTATTGAAATTCCAATCGTTTGAGACTGAGTATTCTCTGTGCAGTTATGAATCATCCTGTCGATTCAAGATTTAATGAGAATAAAGATCGTAGGTCAAGAAAAAAAGGAAATTAATTAAAAAGAATGCCTATTTTTGATAAGCCTATATTGATGAATATACTAATAATGAAATAAAAGCTTTATCTTTGTTAAAAAATAACTTGATACATTTTCAGAATTTGTTTATTATGTAGATTAAGAAAAATAAATTTTATCTAGTAACTGTAAGGAAGTTTCTCGAAAAAGTCAGATTTTCTAAAACCTGATTTTTTGCAAGTTTTCCCACTTTTCATTACTGTAAAATAGTGTATTCTGACTCAGCATGTTTAGTTGTATCTGAAAATGTATAAAAATTAAAAAATAAAGCCTGCTCGAACTTTGCGTTACCTTCACCTTTCTTTCTGTGAGAAAATGACGGTCCATGAATGTGTCCTTCAAAAGTAAGGTGAAATTTCAATAAAGACTGTGCGATGCATATCTTCATGAAAATACGCTAAGGGACCGCAATTTTATTATAGTAGGCATAACTCATTGAACTCCGTAAGATGATTTGTTTTGATCAATCTAAAGAGCTTTCAATTTTTAAGATAGGAACATGAAAGACCCTCCTCAGGTGATGCTCATTTTCTGAGAGTGGTTCGAAAAAGGGTTCAAAGGATCTATTTAAATAAGTGGTATCTCCGCAGACGATTACATGTGACACAGTGCGGATAAAAGACTGCTAATAAATATTCATAGGTTCACGTTCGATAGAGTGATGCAAGTTTTCTGTCAATATTAATCAAAATGAGTGTTTTTTTCCTTGGATTAGTATTCGCAGAAAAAGTTGACTTGTATCGTTCGAATCTATTTTCGGACCCATTCAAAGTAGGTGTTGGGAGGTATTCATGAGCATGGCTCATCAAGTTCAATTTATCTAAATAAATAGATTTAAATTATCTTTCGCTTCTAGATGTTCGCGTGCTTTTAAAATACCCTATACTTTTCTACTTATTCGCTTAGATTTATTTCGTATACCTACACTTCGATACTCGTATTTTTCTGTCGATATCACAATATAGCTCTAGCAGTAGACCTATACTTCTTTTTTATTAGCAAAATTATTGATGACTGTATAGGTCCTAGCAGTACGAAATAATGATGAGGCCGAGAAAGCAGAAATGATAAAGAGAAACGAAAAAAGAGATACGTAAAGTTACAGCAAACAGAAGATAACAGTAGATGGAGCACGATTTTAATGAAATAGAGTGAAACGAGAGGATAGGAAGGAAAATAGAAGAAAGGAATAAGTAGATATTAGTAGAGAACGACAGCAAGAAACAAATATGGTCATTAAACACGTTGCGTCGAAGGAAAGGATCTTCTACTTGTTTGATGATACTCCTAGAGTTATTGAGGTAGAAAATATAATGTGAAAAGAGAGTATAGGAGAGTTACGATGAGGGTGATGGAGGGGATAGAGAAGGAAAACAAAAATAAAAATAAAAGAGGAGATGTAATGTGACATTGAGACGAAATAATCGCCAGTAAAATGTGTGAATAAACGAAAGAAGTATAAGAGAAGAAGAGAAGGAAAAAAACAAACATTTAAAGTATAATAATAGCTTAAAGAAGAAAAGTATCTGGGAAAAGAACTAGTACATCAAGATCCTCAGGGTTGCATACTGGGAGAGGTTCGTCGGTTGGTATGCTGTTACACCACTCTAGACATCTATCAAGGATTGCTAGATGTTGAATAAAAAGTTTCGATCTGAAGACTCCTTTGATATTAAATTCTTTATTTAGCTAGGAACTTCTTTGGGTAGTTAAAATTGTTTGCTCAAATAGTAGTTTGCTGTCAATATTAGTTTGTAAATCAGTAAGATGTTTTGTTCTAATATTTTAAGCAACGATCTTCTAGGAAAATTTCGTTCATCATGAAGGAGAAAAAACTATCAGGCCATTGCACACAAGAGAATATTCGTTTTCGACACGTATAATAAAAGTGATTTAGATGTTGTTGTTGGGTGAAAAGGGGAAACAGTGGGAAAAGCTTGTTAGCGCAGCCCCTTTGGGACTAAAATGTGGAACTCACATATATCCCTTCGGCTTACTAAAATAATTCAAAATAATTCATCTGAAAAATCTACCCTGATTTTCAAAACCTATAANCCTAAGCTAGTTACTATGGTCTGTAATGGTACCCTAAGCTAGTTACTATGGTCTGTAATGGGCAAGCATAGCTTTTTCGTGTAGTCTGTAATTAAAAAGGGAAGAAATATCAGCCAAATTAGTCAAGCTTCTAATTAGCACAATTTTAAACTCATTGATGTCTGTAATGGGGAGGGGCGGGGTGGGGAGCCGCAAAAATCTCGGCTTTAAACTTACACTCACCATTTTCTTCGAAAATATATGTGAGTTCCACAAAATTCATGTGAGTATAGGGAAAACATATGAGTGGAAGAGAGCTTTTCTAAATTGATGAGACTTAGAGACGAAGAAACGAAAGGAGTTGATTAGACTGATACGTTGTCTTATTTTTAATAAGCTATTATCTATAAGTTTTCCGAAACCTAATTTGGGAGAGAGCCAATATCCTAGGTATTTATACTGATGCATCCAGTTGATAGTGTGATCACCTGACGAAATCATGAATTTAGGCGGCCCAATTGTCCTGGCTGACCACACCCCTTCAATCTTGAAGTAGTTGATAGGTTGATTTGTTAGTATAGTATAATATTCAAGATTCGAGAAAAATATCTGTTATTTCTTTTCTAATTCAATACATTGGTTTGAGTATTTCATTCCGATTCCTCCGGTGATGAGTAGACCTAGACTTTATTAGATTAATATTTGATCATTTTTTTCTAATAATAATCTTAGTATTTTTGATGAAATTTAATATCTTCGTGAAACATCTGCATAGATACCAGTTATCTCCATGAATACCATCTCTTGGCTAAATCAGAAGATTGTGGAAAAACATCTAACCTTAAATCGTAAGGTACGATATCTGAACATCCACCGTTTATGCGCAGTATACGTTATAAACTCGACTAACAATTCTCTCACGAGGGAGATTTGTAACCAGACAATAGCTGCATAATAGTATATAAGACAAGGGAAATCGTCAGATCTATTTTATTGTTTTCTCAATGAAAGAAGCAAATAATGTTTTTCAGAACTAAAAGTATTTGATTTCACTTTTAGTAGTTTTTTAAATTTATTGCCTTGTATACTATCAGTAAAATCTCTATTTTTATTCATATTAATTCAGGAAAAAAGAAATTTAGTAGTTTATATGGTTTTTATTGATATCAATTTATTTCGATTAAAAAAAAAGACTTTTTATATACTTTATATTTTATTCTGACACAAAGATATTAGAACAATAAATATTAAGGTTAATTGAATTTATTATAAACAGTATTTTTTATGAGTTGAGATATTTATTCATGCAAAACCTAAAATTAAAAAAATGGAATTATCTATGTGTTAAATTAGTAGTAAATTAAATTAAAACCATATAGAGACTTGTAACTCTCTCATTCTCACCCCACCAACACCCACACTCTCAAGATCATCGAAAGTACCAGGATGCAGATTTTCTCTACTATATCATCCACATTTGAACTTAATGTGGATTCCACAAAAACGAAATTGAAACTTATATGATTAGTACTAAAAGTAACTATAAAATATTTATTCAAAAAGTAAAAAAAATCATCTGAATTAGAAGTATTAAAATTTTCAGAAGCTACTGTTACTCAATTTCTTTTCCCTTTACATCATTTGAATAATCTGATTATTATAACCTATGAACGACATGCCATTTTTCTACTTATATTACCGAAGAATGAGTCAGCAACCAAATCCCTGTGATAATTATAACATGACAACATCAATAAACAGCATCGACAATGATCGAACAACGTCGGAATCTGTGCCATGTCTTTTGTTGAAAAATGGCACGGATGTCCCCAATAAGAAAATCCTTCACAAGGCCAGAAAAGTAAATCGTGAATCCATCCTATTCATTTGGTTAGATTTACAATCACAATCAACGCCGGCATTTATCCATTCGCTTCGAGCAATTAATGATAGAGTTCAAATCTATAGTGACGAATCAACCTGTCTAGACGCATTGAAAACTTCGCAAGATAAGATCTTTTTCATATCGGCGTCGAGTAACCAAGAATTAATTGCAAAATTGAATGCTATTGAAAGTATTGAGGCCATATTTGTACCTGATTCTGACGTCACTTTTATCAAAGGCGAATACACTAAGCTGCTAGGTTTCTTTCCTGACATATTAGGACTCCTTTTAATTCTTAAGGAGAAACTCGAAAGATTTAAAAAAATTATGCTAGAAACATTCCTGTTTGAACAAGATAATCTATTTCAATGGTTACAATCTTGGAAGGAAGAGGTGAGCATTAGAACTATGGCTTGCATCAATTAAATCACACAATTTCATTATTTGTATAGTTGACAAGCCAACAGATTCCAGCGAATAACAGAAAACGGTTTCTCAAGATGGCACGTGCTTACTATCGACGTAATCCGACAATGAGGAGTCTTATCAATGAATTTAAACAAAGATACCATCCAAAAGATGCTCTCAGTTGGTGTCTCCTATCTCCATTTCCGTCATGCTTAATTAGACATGCTTTTCTGAAATGTCATACGGAGCAGCTCAATCTTTATCGATTCCTAATCGCTGATACGTCGCGATCGATACAAATACATTCTAACTTTACTAAAGATCTTCAACTTTATCGAGGGATGAAATTAACAAGGCAAATGGTCGATACATTCGCAATAAACACTGGCAAAATTGTGTGCGCTTCTGGATTTTTTACTTGTATAAAGTCAAGAGCAACAGCTTTGGATCTGGCTTTGTCGCCTGAATACCGATCTGATCATACGTCGGTTTTATTCAAGATTCATTGCAATTCGTCGTCTTATTTTGCTGAAATCCCATCAGACAACCGCGAATTATCTTTTGTCTTCGATCTTGGTGTGAATTTTCGCATAATATTTATTAATCGAGGTAAAATGACAGTCATCAAGATGCGAACAGTGCCCGACGAAGATGACAAACTGTCACAAACATATAAAAATAATCATAGACGAGCGACCATTCAGACCTTGTTCGACGAACTGTTAGCTTCTTCAAAGCCCTTAATATCTCTCCCATTAAACCCACTATCATCTCATTCTTCAAGGCCACCTTCATCTCCTTCTTCAAAGGCAGTACTAATTCCAACTTCGAAACCGCTATCATCTCATTTTTCAAGGCCACTATTAGCTCCTTCTTCAACATCTTTATCCCCTCTTCTTCCAGAGACACTACCACATCTATTTTTAAAGCCACACTCATCTAAAGTTTCAACGTCCCCAATAAGTCATTCCCCAAAGCAATCATCCCTTCCTCCTTTAACATCATTGTCATTACCTTTTTCAAAGTCGAAGGTAAACTCTCTTTCGCCATCGCTCTTACCTCCTTCCTCCATGCAGCTACCGATTCATGCATTAGAGCAGCTACCATGCCCTTCCCCAGCACCACCATTAGCTGCTCTCCAAAAACCACCCCCAGGCCCTCCAACAAAGCGTCTCTTTAATCAGTCTACAAAAACCCAACCACATCATGCCTCAAAACGCCGATTTCCGTCTTATTCGAAGTCACAACCACCTCCAACTCCACGCCGACTACACCCTCCATCTTTAAGACCAACATCACCTCCTGGTTTAAAAACAAGATTCCCTCCTTCTCTAAAGCCAATATCACGATCTTCATCAGCACCACTATTTCCTCCACATTTAAAAATCTTAAACCTTCGTCCTCCAAAGCAATCTTTACGCCCTTCTTCAACACCACTATTCCATTCTTCTCTGAACCAGCTACTATTTCCGCATGCAAAATCGTTGTCAATTGTTCCATTGAACCCTGCATTTCCTACTACTTCAACAACGCAACCAACTGTAGCTTCAAAATCCCGTCCAACTCCTACTTCAAAGTCACAACCACTACCGCCTACAAAGCTGCAACCAAAGGCTACCTCGAAGCGCCCACCGCTTGATACGTCAAGGTCACAACCGCCTACTATTTCAACATCACAACTACTAGATGCTTCAAAGTCGCAACCAACTGCGATCTCCAAGTCGAAATCAATCCCTACTTCAAAACCGAAAGTACCATCTCTTTTAAAGGATCCACCAATTAGTAAGCCAACGTCACAACAGCCAGTAGCTTCAATGTCAGAACCCCTTCCCGCTTCAGAAACAGAATCATCCTCTATTCTAGTACCACAATCACAAGCTGTTTCAAAAATACAATCTTCTTCTGTCTCAGAACCAGAACCGCCTCCTTTTCCAGAATCACAACCACATCGTACTGCAGAGCCACAAGCACCTCCGGCAAAAAATTTAAAGTCATTTCCAACTTCCAAACGAAAGCCACCACCTATTTCAAAATCAGGAGCACTACCTGCTGCGAAACCAACACTAGGCCATACTTCGAAAACAAAACCACCAACTGTCGCAGAAGTTGGAGTAACTGATCCTTCAAAACCACACTCGCTTCTTTCCTCAAAACTACAGTCATCTTCTTCAGAAACAGTGCAACCCCCAGCTTTAGAGCCGGAACCACACGTTCTTGTAGAACCAGGGAAACCTGCGGCATCAAGGCCGAAGCAAGTTCCCATTTCAAAACCAAGACCAACTGCTGCTTCAAAACCGCAGCCTCCACAGGCTCCGAAAAAGAAAGTACTTCTTACCTCGAAATCTAAACCACACCCTATTTCAGAAGCAGAATCAACAACTGTTTCACAAACAGTACCACCTCCAGTTTCAGAGCAAGAAACATATGTTGTTTTAGAATCACAACGAACTTCGCGGCAAAAACCGAGCTCACTTCCCATTTCGAAACCGCAGCCACCTCCCACTTCAAAAGCACAAGCAACTGCTGCTTCAAAACCCCGGCCCGCACCGGCTCTGAGAAAAAAAGTAACATCTACGTCGAAACTACAGCTACCCACTGTTTTACAAGCGCATCCTCCTACAACCGCACAGGAAAATGCAGCTCCCAAATCAAAATCACAACCAGTTCCTGCTTCAGAAACATTGCCACCACCGGTTTCAGACTCAGAACCAGATTTCGCTGTCGAATCAGAACTATCTCGAGTGTCAAACGCCAAGCCAACTACTGCTGCAACAACACAACCGGCTGTTGCTTCGAAGTTGCACGCGCCTCCTTCAGAAACATTGATAGGTACAGTGTCAGATCCAAAAACACATGCGATTTTAAAACCAGAAGAATCTCCGCCATCAAACTCGAAGCTACCTGTTGCTTCGGAAGCACATCCACCTCCGACATCGGAAAAAAACGCAGTTCCTACTTCGAAATCAAAACCACCACATCTTTCAGCAGAACAAGAAACTCCTTCTTCAGAAGTTCAACCAGTAGCTGCTTCAAAATCACGACCCCAACAGGCTCAGCAAAAGAAAGTAGTTCTTACGTCGAAATCAAAACTGCATGCTCCCTCAGAAAAATTACCACCTTCAGTGGCAAAACAAGAACCACATGCTGATTTAGAGGCAGAACGACCTACGGAGCCGAACCCAAAGCAACCTGCTCCTTCGGAAGCAAATCCACCTCAGACATCAGAAGAAAGCGCAGTTCCCACTTCGAAATCACAACCACAGTCATTTCCTGCTACGAAGCTACAACCAACCCCAACTTTCAAGGCACGTTTGCCTCCCGCTAAGAAGTCGAAAATGGCTCCTACTTCGAAACTGCAGCCACCTCCTGTTTCGGAACCACAAGCAGCTCCTGCCTTAAACACACAATTGCCTCCTACTTCAGAAACATTAGCACCGCCGGTGGCAAAGCAAGAACCCCATGTTGATTTGAAGGCAGAACGACCCCCAGCATCAAAGCCGAAACCACTTCCCATTTCGAAACCGAATCCAGTGCCACCTTCAAAGCCACAACCACCTCCTGTTCCAGAACCGCAACCGGCTCCTGCCTTAAACACACAATTGCCTCCTGCTTCAGAAACATTAGAACCGCCAGTGGCAAAGCAAGAACCACATGTTGATTCGAATGCGGAACGTCCTCCAGCATCAAAGCCGAAGCCGCTTCCTTCAAAGGCACAATCACCCCCTGCTTCTGAACCGCAACCGGCTCCTGTCTTAAACAGACAATTGCCTCCTGCTTCAGAAACATTAGCGCCTTCGATTCCAGAGCCAGAACTAGATGCTGAGGTGAAAGCGGAACCACCTCCGGCATCAAAGGCGAAGCCAATTCTCAAATCGAAACCAAATCCATCAGTTCCTTCAAAGGCACAACCTACTCCTATTTCAGAAGCAACACCTGGCGGCGACTCTAACCCACGACCTCCACCAGCTTCGAAAAAGGCAGCTCTCCCTAATTCGAAAATACAATTACCCAGTGTTTCAGGAGCACAACCCGTTGTGATTGCGAAAAAACAAAAAGTTCCTAGTTTAAAGTCACAATTAACGCCTCTTTCACAAGCGGAATCCGGTCCTGCTTCCGAACCACAGCCCGCTCTCACTGCCGAGTCGCAGAAATGTTTTCCTCCAGTGCTGCCAAACGAAACAGCAGATAGGTAAATGTATTGATTAGAAAGAAATCGAGCAGATATCACTCGAGAAAGGGATCGGAGAGAAACTGAATGCTTGTTTTAAATCATTTCTTTTAGTCAACTTCAATTAGGTGACAATGTGTTAACAGCTGAGAATCATGTGAAGAAGAATGAAATCGATTTAGCAATAGCTGCATATCAACGTGTTCAGCCTACCTCCGCTGCTGTACTTTTTCAGCTTGGTTGTTTGTATGCGGATAAAAAAATGGACTCCGACAATGCGCTCGCCTACTTTTCGGAAGCACTTAAATTGCAAGAAGAAGTAAGTGATAGTGAAGTTTGAAAGAAATGAAGCGCTCAATGTTTTATGAACGAGAGTGGTGTAGCTTCGTTGAAATCTTATTGGTTCAAACAGTAACGATGTTCTCATGATGTGTATACCTAAAACACTAGCTTGCTTTAGTGTTTCAGAATCATTACTCAGGCATATTTAATTGCAACAAATTATGTTTGTGGCTATGGTGATGAATGAAATACCTATAAACGGTAGAGTTTTAGGAGAATTCGTAGAGAGAATCATAAGCAGCTCGAGAATGTGTGCAACTCTTACTACCGGTCTAAGTCTAGGACGATAGCCAGAAAACCACCGTCTCGACATGTTTTTCATTCAAATAGTAAGATTTTGTAACCAAATTGTTGATTGCGTAGATTATATAATTTCTGTTACGGTGAGTTGTTCCTTTTCTCTCGATAAAATATTCAACATTGAAGCTAATCTCTTTGTTTAGGCAGTTACTAGTCCAGATCTATTTATTTTGTCATGTGAAACTTCGTTTCTTTGTAAGAGCAAGTCCTTGAAAAGAGGTTCACTTAGAATTACGATTTCAAGTGTTTAGCTCTAACATTGATTGAGCGAAATGAAATCTCTTGATAGCATCGTATATTGAACTTGTTTGTCTCGACATATTTTGTTGTTCTTTAATCCTTCAGACGGGTGAAAATGCTGCTGATACACTAACCCAACTTGGTTTAATACATGACGAACGCAATGAATTCGACTTGGGTTTGGAATACCACACTCGTGCAATCAAAGTATACGAATCTAGTGAACCATTGGCTCAAACCTCTATAGCTACTAATCTAATTGGTATTGCGAATGCTCATCGAGATCGACAAGAATTATCAGAAGCACTTGATAATGCCCAACGAGCTCTCTTGATACAAAAATCTTTGGTACCCATCGACGAATCAAGTGTAGCAACCACATTAGCAGCACTTGCCAATATTCATTACGACCTTGGCGATACTTCTCAAGCACTGGACTTGGATATGAAAGCATTGGAAGTGTTTGAACGTTTACTTCCGCCAAATGCCCCCGCATTGGCTGCAGTACTCAACAATCTAGCTGCGATAGAAGTGAGTTTGGGTGAGCTATCTGAAGCTCGACAATACTTTGAACGAGCGTTAGCAATTTTTCAAGAAAATCTTCCATCCGGTCACCCTAATCTAGCCAAACTAGAGATTAATATTCAACGTACCAAAGAAATCCAACAGCTAGAAGAAGACGATTTACAAGACGAATCATGAATCGAACTATCACTTTAAGAATGGCGTTTCATTCTCTATCGAAATGTATATTGCAAAACATAAAATCTATGACGATGAACTTTTCATCAATATATCGGTATGGAACAATTTTCGTTATTTTCTATTAAAACAGATCAAAATGTTGAATCTTCTTTTTGCGTTTTATTCCAATGTATAGTAAGAATGAACAGATTCTACTTGATCTACCAACTATGTAGAAATGTACAGTACTCGCCATAAATGGACTCGACTGAAAAAGCAAGGAAGACAAAGAAGCTATTTTATTATATTTTGTTTACAAAATCTACATTTTATGTACATCATCCTAATAATTAATATAGTCGCCGTTTTATTTCATGGAATCGGCTAATTTTTCAGCAAACTCGATAGATAAATTTTTCCATGCCTTTTTTATTCTAACAAAGAACTTGCTGATGGATATGGGTAGTTGTGTGTTTATTTTGAGCTTCATTAAAGCCCAAATATTTTTGATTGAGCTACAACCGAGAGATCGCGATGACTAGGGTAATGTTTGGCTGATCATTAATGCGGTGCGAAGCACAGCATTTATGTAGTCCGTCGCGAGTTTTTTTTTTTTCTAAGTTGAGTACGCATAAAAGCTCTAATAAAGTAGCGCGATGATCTAGAGAACCGTAAGTGATAGAAAATTCATTCAAACTAGATATAAAACTATGGAGGTGGAACTTGTTACATATTTTTTCCAATTTTCAATACTAGGCTTCGTTCGCCTAAAAATATCATTCGACAATGATGATTTTGAAACGTTTTATTGCTTTATAGTTTCGCGCTAATTAAAATGACGTCATCAAGTAATAGTAGCCAATAGTCTATTTCTTCGCATTTGATCTATGATAGTGAATCATTAAAATAATTAATCGTTCAGTGAAAAAAATTGTTAGACAACTGGTTGTTACATTTTCAGAGAGATTTCCTAGTGATGAATTTCAAAATGGTCGATTTAAGAATAGTGAATGCGAAATTTTTATTCAAAATTCGTACACGGAAATTAAAAAAAAATAAACGTTTGTAATGAATCTTAAAGTGAATCATTTATTTTTAAATCTTATTCTCGCTACTTTCGAAAATTCGGCTCGTGGGCTTCGCACCGCATTTCGTAGTCGAGTGAAACTCGAATACCATCTAGTTTGTTCTGTTTTTTATTGGGTTTACCAAGGAGTTCCATTATTTTCCCCCAAAAACCAATTTAGATATGATCTTCTTGCAATTTGTTTGAGATAAACTCGAAGGAATTGGAAAAAAAGATCTAAAATGAAGTCGATTCCGAAGCCTCCATTGAATCCACCTACTGAAGAAATACTACTGATATAAATGTTTATGGGTGAAAATGGTATAAAGATAGCTAGATAGTTAAAACTCCGAAATTCGAGCATTGTGTTAGGAATAATCAATATAGCTAAAATATAATTTACCATCAAAATCTCAATCACTTATTTCTATAGGACTAGTACGGGCGTCACTAGAAAGCAATTGTATGTGGAGGGCGACCAAGTCGTTCGTTCCTAGTTTGTTTGTAAATACAATTTTTCAAATTTTGATGAAAAAAATGTTTTTTTTTGAGTTTACTATTAAACAAAATAATTTGAATTGATCGTTCCTATTGGAGGGTTGTAATGTTAAATTCTCAGATAGGGTAGACTTCAACTGTTCTATTACCCACGCAAATTCACGCTCTCATAATTAATACTGAATAATGTGCTAAGAGTACAGGAGAATAATGATTCATCTTGTTTTTACTTAGTTTTTCATTGATCCAACAAATAGGATTTGACACATGCATTCTTATTTCGCACGCTTAGTTACACAAGTGGGCCCATAAGGTAATTTAAAACAAAACTTTAAGCAGCGTTCCACGTTTTCGAAAATAAATTAAAGTTAGCATACCTAAACCTTTAAAGGCACACAGGAATTATTCTGTCCTGTGGAATCCTTCGACTCTCATACACTCGCTGTTTTCTTCTATTCTTGTTCGATTCGAGTATCCTCTTATAGGGAAAAAACTTAGAATCTGAATGATTCAGAGTTTGCCATTATTTTCTCTTCATATGTTTTGTTTCATTTTGACGAAAGATAGAAAACAGATAATGCACAAAAAAAAGACTTATTTTTGTAGATTTTAATTAATATTGAATTTTTACGTCAACCTCGAGATCATAAAAGAGTTCTCAATAGCTGATTGATTTTCTCAAAATTTTCAAATTCATCATGTTTATCTATTTCTCTTTTAATTTTTGACATTCTATTGAATTTTTGTATGAAAATAACCGAGCAAAAAGTTTTAAAAGAAAACAATGCTGATGATTAGGTGAATGAAGAAGAGTCCAAAGAGATTATATAAAGAAATCTAGAGAACAAAAGGAAGTGATAGAAATAGGTTAAAACTTTACATTTGCTTGTTCAATTTTACAATAGTATCAATGTAAAGCATAAAATATGCGCTTATTTGAAATTTAAATAGATCCTTCTATACTAAAACTGACGTTCATTTTCTGTGATAGCTGCTGAAATAGAATGACTTTTTCGAGTCAATCTGTATAAGAAATAGATTACTCTGTAGCGTCACCTCATCTTTGAAGTTGACTAACACAACAGTTAGTATGTCACCGCTTCCAGGTCAACAATTTTACGTCCGGATCTGTCTAGAGTAGCGGCTCTAATTCATGGTCAAACTGAGTGAACAAGTAAATTAGTTTATCTCGTTAGTCATATTTAAAATAACAAAAATAATTCACCTAGAATGTCATAAGAATTTTGAATTCTTCATATGCAAAACCTATTTACAAAATTCTACTATATGATTCAAACAAAATCTATATTCTGTTTGATTATTTCAATTCAACACAATCCACAAACACAGAAAGCACTACCCCTAAGAAACTAATTTCTTACTTCGTTCTCTTTATTGGCATTAACGGCAAGCAGTATACAAACTTTACTGTCAGTTCTACTCCTATCTACTTTATCCGACTTTTCTTTTATTTGTGTATCATCTCTTGGAGTGCCACTAGGTGCAAACGGAACGAATATTCCTTCTAATGTCAAATTGAATCTAAATCATATCGCTGTTGCTGGAGGGAATCGACAAGGCAACAAAGTCAACCAATTCAGTGATCCGTCCAGTTTGCATGTCGATCATGATGAAACAATTTATCTTTCTGACTTCAATAATAATCGTATTATGAAGTGGAAATGTGGCGCAGAGCGTAGTTGTGCCAAGAAGTACGTACCTCGCAAAGGATTATATTAGATACGGGTTATATGAACCATCGGACGTCCACTTGTAAGTCATAGAGCTGATGAACATCCTGCAGTGACGTAATTAAGTTTACATCACTAATATTCATCCTTACATATGACAACACATAATCGTCCACTGAATAGTACGTAATTTTTCTGTATCTTTTCTCTCTAGATATCTTTTTCTTTCTCTGTATCCCCTTCTCTCTCTCCTATTTATATTTTCCTTATTCTCTCTCTAGTATATAAACTCGCGTTCTATGTGAAATAGAAAAGAGTATTGAAGGCAGTTGAGTCGAGTTCAGTTCTAAACAAGTCAAGTTAGAAGAAAGTTGTGCTTTGTAATACGTACGATTGTATTCGGTTGTATTGAAAGACAACACACAGAACTCATTTTGGACAAGAATTAACTTATTGTGTGGAATTGTTGTTAATATTATACACACGGTGGCTAAAATATATAGCTGATACTGATCTACGCTTTGTTGTCCATCAGCGTATCAGGATATATACGCAATTCTATATATCTCGATAGTTATTTGAAGAATATTTACGCGACCTAAATATTTTCCCGTTACATACTGTTTCATTGAAATCCTACAAAAGAAATATTTGTTTGTCATATATCAATTTACATGCGTGTTTGCTTCTTTTAAGATAATATATAAGATAACAAATCTATCTTGAAAAAGAAGGAGAGAAACTAAATTCAAACAGTTGACGATCAAAAAGATCAGCGTAACGAATGAAATTTCTCTTGAATTTTATTAGAAGATAGAATTTTAGGAAAAAATCAAATCGGCAACTTATTTGTAGAAGAAAGGAAAATATCTATTATAGAGAAAATGCGAAATATGCTATTTTACAAGGGTTTACAAATATTTCAATTTGATTGTGTATGTCTGAACTTTATTGTATTTATTTAATTTATTACGAAATTTTAAAAAAATCTTCTTTTCTTAAGTATAATGGCAAGCTTCTAAGAACTGAATTAAGTATAAGAACAAGGTTCTACGCAATTTTCCTGTCACTGTTAAATAGAGACATTTCTTTGAAATTTTTTCCATATATTATATTATAAGATGTAGCGTGAAAAGCTTTACAATTTATATTAGATCGCTTTTCTTACAGTTGCACCTTTTCCTTTTAATATCCAACAAAAGTTGAGAAGATGAGTTTAAAAAAGCTCGCCATGTATCAAAAAAAAAGTGTTGTCCGCAGGGTCGAAATTTGGTTGCTTCAAATTTGATCGCTTTTGAAAACCAAGAGTGCAAATATATGAAAAGCTATCTTGTGTAAATTGTAGCGTTTTGCACGTTGCATCTTATGATATAGTACACGGAAAAGAGTTTTCAGACATTTTTCCATTTATATATTATTTTAAGAACAAAACGATTTTTTTTTCTAACAAGTTTCTTTTGATTATTTATTTTTTCAGCTTATGATGCTTGCCCATAGTCATTTAATCAACGGAAGACAATTTTTGAATAGTTTGCATTCTGTTTTAATTCAGACAAAAAATCAGTTAAAATATGTCTCTAGGGATGCACTAATCGCAATTCCAATTCTAGACTTGGGATTGGACGAACTTGGCTGGAATCGAAAAACTATTTATTAGGAATCGATCGAGAGTTGACATGGAATCAGCAAAGCCTCAATCTCTACTCCAGTCAAATATAGTGCTTAGATTTCCCTGGTTTTAGTTGGAGTTGGAGTATGATTTTGCAGGAATGTATTAGGGCTTCGGTTTGACTGAAATGGACTTCGGTTTCAGTGAATTTGTGTGTCCCTCTTCACATGAATTTCGCAAATCATATTCTGTTCTCGTCCAATTCTCTCAATGTGGTGTAATATTTGATTGGGCATATTTTTTATAGGAAAAAGGCTCATTGGGCATTTGTCATCATGAAAGGCGTATTTGGACGAGAACAGGATATGATTTGCGAAATTAACTTGAGGAGTGATACACAAATCCACTGAAACCAAAGCCAAGTTCAGTCAAACCGATACCCTAATATATTCCTGCATAATCATACTCCAAATCCAATTCCAACTAAAACCAAGAAAATCTCAGCACTATATTTGACTGGAGTAGAGATTGAGGCTTTGCTGATTCCATGTCAACTCGTAATCGCTTCCCAATTAATAGTTGTCCGGCTCCATGTCAGTTTCAATTCCAGTCAATTCTTGACCAGTTTTAGTCAATCCAAATTCCAATTCCAATCGAGTCAAGTCAATTCAAATAATTGGGATTGACCAGAATTAGAATTGAGCATCCCTATATGTATCAGAGATGGACGAGTAGCGATATCACACTGCCCCCGTCCCGCCTCGTGGCGGGATAGGGGTAAAATTCTGAGTAGCTGAGCGGTAGCGGTGTAACTTTCAGTTTCGCGGTTCCCCATCTCATAACATACCATATTTTTCTTAGACTACAGATACAACTGCATAACAGTGATATTGTTTACATAAACTGATCTAATTGATAGGGAACATTAAAGAGTGATGGTACCGTGTTGTCATTCTTCGGCAGCTGTTCTGATTCGACAAATTCGTTTCATGCCGAACGTGTTTTGTTACATATTCATTTAAATCAAATAGTACAAGTCAAATGAACAAGCATAATTGTGATAGTCAATCATCTTCATCTAAATCTTCATTTTCACCTACATCGTCGCTTATATCTTCATCTACAAATTCTTAAGATAACGTTCAGTTTTTAAGATAATCTAAAATGATATCTTCTATTTCCAGTGCGTCCTGCTCAAGAAAAATTAAAGAATCGAGAAAAGATAAAATAAAAAATTGACTGGTTGAGTGAGTGTGTGCTGATATTTGACTTTTTTCCATTGTGACTGATAATTAATTTCACGAAATAGAATAGTACTGATGAAAGATGACTACAAAATTATATTTTCTGAAAAAACATATTCTACTGGAGGGGGGGGCGTTACTCGTGATAGAGTGGTGCGAAGCTTGGCGGGGGCGCATTTAATTGATAGGCAGTGGTGGGATGCTGGCGGTGTGACTCTTTAGCTGCTCCGTCCTTCTTATCCTTCTCAGATATGTGTATCATCAAAAGATGACGCAAAGCATCTAACTTGTTAGAGAGAGATTTATATAGAAATGAAGTATCAAATGAATGAAGCTAACTAATAATAATCTAGCTAAACAATTTGATATAAATTTCATTTATGCGTTATCACCTGATCTGCACTCAACAGCAAAACATTTAACAATACTTGAACGAAAATTTGGTGAAATATTTCAGTTTTATTTCCTTTTAAAAAGCAGATAATCGTAGTTTATGATACAGCGAGTAGCCTGAAATATATAAATTATCTTTTTTATGTGCTAAAATAAAAATTTCTTTTTTTTTAAATTGTTCATTCAGCGATCTATTTGTATATCTAACAGGATAAAAACGGAAAATGAGTTCATCGGAATCGATTTTAATGAATAATAATGTTGAAATTCCGCAACTAGCATTCGGTACATATGACATAACAAATGAAGAAATAGTGAATGTTATTGAAAGTGGACCTTCAATTGGTTATCGTCATATTGATTGTGCATGGCTTTATGGAAATGAAAAAGGGATTGGAAAAGGTTTATCTAATCAATTCAAAAAAGGAAAAATAAAAAGATCAGATTTATTTCTAACAAGTAAGCTTTGGTGTTCATTTCATAAGTTTGAACGTGTTCGTCAACAATGTTTAATAACAATAAATGATCTTCAATGTCAATATCTTGATCTTTTTCTTATTCATTGGCCATTTGCTTTCGTTGATCAAGTCTGTTTTCATTGTTTTTTTCCTTTTTCGAGTTTCTGTTTAGGATCCAGAGAAAAAAATCCAGAATTTCAATCAAATGTGGATGATAAACTTGATTTTCTTGTAACATGGAAAGCAATGGAGATGTTAGTTGATGAAGGTTTAGTTAAATCTATTGGATTATCAAATTTTAGTGAAGAACAAATAGAACGAATTATTCAAATATGCAAATATAAACCAGTTGTTAATCAAGTTGAAATTCACCCATATTGTCCTCAAATTCAATTAGAAATATTTTGTAAAAAGCATCAAATTCTTCTTGAGGCTTATGCGCCATTGGGTAAAATTGCTCATTTCGTCAAATTTATCTTTATTTTTATTCAAAAATTAATTAAGGTGCAAAAACTCGACAATGGAAAAAAGAAAATGATCCAGAAATTCTGGAAGATAAAACTATAAAATTAATTGCAGATAAATATAATGTTCATCCAGCATGAGTTCTTCTTCGTTATATTATCGATCGAAATCTCGTTTGCATTGTCAAATCTGCTAATCATGAACGAATTAAACAAAATTTTCATTCGATTAATGAGAATCAATTTAAATTAGATCAAGAAGACTTTAATAAAATTCATAATGATATTCAAATTAGATTTCGTTATCATCAACTGCAAGAGAGAAGACATGCGAAAGAATATCCATTTAAACATTGGAAAGACTTTGTTCCATAAAAACAGTAACTTTTCAACTCAATATTTCTTTAAAATTACATAATTAAATGAGAAATGACATATGGAATAACATTCGTTCAATATCCTAATGGGAAGTAGCGTTCATCGGCATCAAACATCGATTCACTGGGCCCTAGACTGATAGGACTTACCAGTGGAAATGCATTGACTGAGGAGAAAATTAGTTGCTTGTGTCAGATGTGGATCCTGAAGTTTCGAAGGGATGAACGCATTATATGAGTGGAGGCGAGGGACTGGCTGCATAAGTAAAAACCAGACAAAATGAAAAATTTCCCAGAATAATAACGAGGAGCAGCACCCAAAGACAAACCAAGAGAACGAGAGAGAGACAGTGACCGAACATTCAGTAGGGCGTCATCCCACCCCGTCCACTTCGCTCCGTCACTAGAGGGTGCTATTCCGCCTATCCCATCCATGGATCCCAAGATGGTTTGTGCTACTGTTACAGGCAGACAGACAGAGGTGAATTACAGTTTCTAGATCCTATCATTTCAATCTAGAGAATAATGGTGCTCGTTTAGTAGAATGGCTTGTCTACAATAATATCTATGGGGATGATCAGTTCAGTCGGATGTGAATAAAGACAAGAGAATATAGACCCATAACCCAAATTTTGACGCTGAAATGCGTAAAGAGCGTTATTTTATTTCTTCGAAAGAGTGCAACAGAATTTGCTTTGCTTAATATGTGTCGTAAAACATTTTTCAATTCCTTTCCTTTTGTTTGGCTTGCTGTGTAAATAGAAAAGAAGACGAAAATTGCAACAGAACAGTTGAATACACATCAATTATTAATAAATTCTTTGTTCATTTCACATTAGTTTCCATTGAAATAGCCCCCATGTCGTTGTACACATATGGTCTTCATCATTGCAGAGTACGGATGTACCGAACACGAATGCTTTGATTTGAAATGAGCCAAGATTAGACTTATCTCAGATATTCTCTCATTCTTTGAATGCCTAGATTAAAAGAAGGCTACACATATTAATTATTGTTGCGTACAACATTTGACGACAAAATAAACAAATGTAACAACTACCGAGGCTCACTGAATCACGCTAATTACAGTATAGGCATGGAAGAAACAGAGATGCACAACAATATTGACAGGAGACGAGACTGACCAGTGCCGGCTAAATTCAGATTTTTTAGAGCAAACTGTATTCGAACGATTGGTATACGAAAGTAGTAATACAGTCTCAATCGCCATTTCGAGTCGAAACTGCCGGCGGGATGCTAAAGAAAGATTTTTCGTGAGAACTGATGATTTTTGACTGATCAACGATTTACATCGGAAAAATTAGACTACGAAGTGACTGGAAAACATCATCCAGAGCTGTAGGGGAGTCTCTATGAGACTACCACATATTACAATCGAGAGAAATTTTGTTTTCCGATTTTGAGTGAGTTTCTTCCTTCAGTCAAACGTACATCATAGTGAAGAGTATTGATTTTTAACAAGACATCACTTCTATCTTCTTCGATGAAAGAAAGGAATTCTTTTCATCGATATCAGCGGCTTGAAGCTGTGGAATGATCAATTCATGGTTGTATATAGTGGAATAACAATTCGTATTGTTTCTCCATGAACGTTTATTGTAAACGAAATAAAATTTTAAAAAAGGATATTCACGGCTGATCCGTATTCATTTATGAACGATACAGCACCTGTGATATTTTTGCTTTCGCGATACCAAGCAACTGGAGTAACGAACACATTTACATAACGATTAGGCAATATATTTTGCATATGATCACGAAGAGTATCCCGTCTTTTTGCAGGATCTTTTTCACTTATTGTATCAAAAACAAAGGGAAACGCCTTGGTTTTGATTTCTTTTGAACTTATAACAGCTCCTGGTGATTTTAATAATTTGTAAATAAGCAACCAGTGCCCGTCTTCTAATGTAACTCTTAATCTCCTGGAAATTTTCTTTGCTACTTTTATAAACGGTTTTAATCTATTTGTACACTGCATAAAGCATACCAAATGCAATCATCTATTTTCTCTTTTATATTGATCTATTTTAGTTTTAGGCTCAAATTACTTTGTCTTTTATATGAATTTATTTCCTCTTCAGGTCCGAACTCTTTTTCACATTGATCTATTTTCATTTTTGGATCATCTGAATCATATGATCAAAAGAGATCACTAATCAGCTTAAAAAATAACTCGTTCGCATTGCATCCCAAGGAAGAAGAATTACTCAGTAGTGTAAATGATATTGTATTTACATACTAAGAAATAAAGCAGCATGAAAAGCTGTTAGCGCAATCCCTTCGGGATTTAAATGTGAAACACGACGTAACTGTTGAGGTGTATCATAGTCATTGCTCCACCTCTCTATGCTTCCTACATTTCTAATACCGTTTGTGATGGATCCAAAGCTTTCCTCTCAAGGTATGTGAAGATTAATTCATCAATTAGACTGAAATTAGCTAATTAATTAAAGTGTTTTGGAAGGAATTCAAATTCTAATATTAACCCTTGAACTCTGCTTCACCGGTCTCGAACAATATCTGGTGGGGGAATCACCTGTCTGTAACGGTCTTGATGGGGAAATTACCTGTCGGTAACGCTCTGTGATAGGGGAATCGGCTGTCGGTAGCGCTCTGTGATGGGGGAATCGGCTGTCGGTAACAGTCTGTGATGAGTAAATTAGCTGTCGGTAACGGTCTGTGATGGGTAAAATAGCTGTCAGTAACGGTNCCCCCCCCCCCCCCCCCCCCCCCCCCCCCCCCCCCCCCCCCCCCCCCCCCCCCCCCCCCCCCCCCCCCCCCCCCCCCCCCCCCCCCCCCCCCAAAATTTCTACCCTAAACACTTCAACACTCCTTTCAGGTCGTGTTTCACAAAAGTATAGGTCAACGGTCAATATGTTTTGAATTTACGCATTCGATGTTTGATAGTATATTCTATAAGGATTCGACCGCAAATGGAAGGATGTGTCGGATATATTTGTCAGCTTAACATATTTCAACTAGAGAAATCACGTATAATACGTTAAGTATTATTTCATAGGCGTCCTATCTTGGAATAAATTCATATTTAACAATTTCCATTGAATTGTGATATGGCGTACACTTCCAGTTTCAGATAAACTTATGTAGCAGTTTGGTAGATACTTCTCTCGTAAGGCAAAATTCATATTGCGCGAACGAAATTCTGAAATTTTTCTATCATATGCAGATCAATATCAATATACGAATGAATCTAATTCTTAAAGATGGTTGTCTTTTTTTCAATAATAATTCAGATTCGTAAAAAAATGTGAAGTTTTCAAAAAGGGCTATGTCCTATTTGTCGTGTGTCTGTTCAAGGGGAAAATTTTAGGCGTCACTGGAATACAAGTCATGAACGACATGAAAGAACTTGAAGGCAAATATTTTAGATCAAGACAAAACAGTACCAACAACGTCAATAGAAACATTTTTCGAAAGCAAGAGACGTCAAGTAAGTGATGGTGTAGCATAGGGGTGTCACATTTAAATTTAAAAAAATTTATTAAATCGAGAAATAAATTTTCAAAAATTTAAATTTAAGATAAATTTAAATTTATTGAGTAAGAAAATTTAAATTTAATAAAATTTAAATTTCTGAAATTTAAATTCAATTAAATATAAATTAAATTTATTTGACTTTAAATTTCTTTAAGTGTAATTTAAATTTTGTTTTCATTTAAACTACTTTAAATTCAATCCAAATTTATTCGATTACTGTTTGCAATCCATTATAATGAATTTTTACTAAGTTTAACAATATTTATATTGATTCACACTAGAAACGAAGTTATTATTAGTACTGCTGAAGATATCCGGAAACTTTTATCTCAAGAGTGAATCGCCAAAGCATGTTTACATATGTTTGAATATCAGGATATTATAATAAGATAAGATTTAGTAACATTCTTCACAATTAACCCCCTAACTCTAAGAACTAGAATATTGCACATAACTCGATTTTCTTGTCTTAAATCAAATCGAAATTCATTATTTGGATAATTTATTTTGGCACAAATCTTTAACCAGAGAGAATAACGCATAAAAGAACAAGTGAAACCTGAAGTTGCAGATACTAAACAACAAATACAACAACAAGTAAAACAGCAAATACAGCAACAAGTAAAACAAAAAATAAATCAAAAAGTAAAACCTGAAGATGAAGATATGAAACAACAACAAGTACAACGACATAATTTGAGGTAACCAAAGATCAAGTAACAAGTAAAACATGAGGATAAGAACATAAAAAAAAGAAAGAAGGTTATTAAAAGCCTTTGTAATTGTTCATATATCAGTTTGAAGTAAAATCAGATATTTCATAATCACGTAGTAACATCAAATAGCGCAAGGTAGTTGGTGATAATGATGAACGAGTTTTTCTCTGAATATAACCAGCCACAGAAAAAGCACTCTCACTCGCTACAGAAGTGGCAGGCATCATACAATAGTATCGAGCTAAATTAGTAAGTCCAGGTAGATTCTGTTGATTTATTTTCCAGAACGACTCAAAATCTGTTTCTTTATCGATTGATGATGTGTAGTATCCAATTTCTTGCTGAATTGTAAATGTATTGTTTGCTGAAGTGGATGATGAATTTGAAGAAAAGGAAGCTTCACAATTAACCAAGAACGATTCGATTGCTCTTAATGGTTTGTTATTATCATTTTTTGATAGAAGTCTAGTCGAACATGAATTAGTTACGTGACTGGATGTCATTATTTGGTCTTTGTGTTTAATAACAATTAGCTTTTTAGCCGTTTCTATAAAATTTTCATCTTCACGTAAATAAAAATAAGTTGTCGGATTCAAAAATGAAGCAATCTATAAGTATAGAATGAGAAATTGATTTTGATGAATATTTATACTCACTGTTATCGCTTCTTCAGCTTCATAAGATATAGTTTGCTCGGAATGTTGTTCATATTTTTGTAAGAGTTGCTTCTTTAAAAATTTCACCATTGGTTCATCCGACTTATATGTTGATAAAAAATGTTTTAAGCCATTCATCACTATTTTCCCTATCGCAAGTGTTTGATAAGAACGACCGGAAAGTAAACAAGTAGATTGCTCAAATGGATGAAGAACATATTCTAAACTAATCAACCAATTCCAATCAGAATGACTAAATGCTAATTGGCACAATTTTGAACGTTGTTTTTGTTTTATACCATCAATATTTTCTGGTGTATGTACTATATCATTTATTATTGAACGCAATTTAATAAATCTAGTCACCATTTTAAATGTAGACGACCAACGAATTGCAAAATCAATTACTGGATTGTTAAACCTAACTTTTTTAAGATTAAGATTTTGAATACTCTGATCGGCTTCTTGTTGTTTTAAACGTATTTGTTCACTAACATAGGCATTTATGATACTGGAGTGATGTATCATAGCAACTAAACGTCTTATACGTTTTAACAATGTAAAAATGAATAGTTTAGAATTTGGCAAAACTGCAGACTGCTCTAAATCCATATGATGCATATCGTATTGCTGTTCTCGATCTAGCAGTTGTTGCTCATCGTCATTTAAATCAGAATCGTCGTCATAACTATCACTGTCATCGTTGAAACCGTCATGTGAGCCTGGAAAATATAATATGTTTAAAGAAATAAGAAGTTAAAATAATTACTTGGTGTTATTTCATCATCTGTTACATCGCTGCCGTTGGAATCATCATCATCAGTTACATCATCGTCACACACTTCATCATTATTCGCATCATGTGAATCGTTTACACTGTCTTGGACAGTTGCTGCTGCTAGATTTCTTTAAATATCATGTGATAGATGAGTTGATAATATTAAAAAAATTATGCAGAGGATTAGTATCTTTTATTTACTATTTTATTAATAAGCTACTAAAACGTAAATCTCTGTTCAAGAAATTAGAACGACACCTATATGAAATTGTTTTATCAGTTTCAAATTTTCTTTAAAAGAATAATTGATACTCTAATCAAACTTTGACTCGAAAATTGATAGTTCTCATATGCTACTAAACAAGAAATTGAAAAATCTAAAACTCAAACCGTTTTCCATGTTTATGAGGGCTTGTAATATATATAGTTAAACAATATGAAGCAGTTTTTACATTTTTTTGTTCCAAAGATTAAGTCAAGGGGGAAATAGCGGACTCCAGGACTCCAGGACTCCATTGGACTCC